GGCGTGCTCTGTGTCCCCGCCAGGCTGTCCGCCTTCGTCCTGAGGAGCTTCCTGGAGGCCGATGCCTACATCGACGTGGACGAGAACGTGCTGCACAGGGCCTTCGTCTGGCTGCGCGGCCACCAGAGAGCCAGCGGGGCGTTCTGGGAGCCGGGCCGGGTGATCCACCCCGAGCTGCAGGGCGGCCTGCAGGGCGGCCGCGGCCCCGCCGCGCTCACCGCCTACATCCTCACCGCCCTGCTGGCCTACAAGAAGTACCAGGTACTGCAGCCCTGCCCAGCCTGCCCTCCCTGCCCTCCCCTCCCCTGCCCTGCCCTGCCCTGCTCTCTCCTCCCCTGCCCTCCCCTTTTCCCTCCCCTCCCTTCTCTGCCTTCTCCTGCCCTCCCCTCCTCTCCTCTTCCCTGCACTGGAGATAACTCTATCCTCAAATTTCAGCCTCCTGAGTAGCTAGGATTACAGGCATGAGCCACTGGTGCTAGACAAGAATTTTTTTTTTTTTTAGAATTTGTGAATGTGTTCTGGTAGGTTGAGGTTGTGAAGCACTTTTTTACTCCTAAAATCTCATGAAACAATGCAGGATCTGTTTAGTGCAAAGTATACTCACACTCATAAAGTCTTAAATGTGTGCATGGACGAGGAGTGCATAGGGAAACTATACAGTGAGCTTAGTTTTGCTCCAGAGCTCTCCTCATAATTGATATTCCATGCATATCTCACAGGATCAGCAGCTGTGTTCTTTTATTAAATTCTCTCTGTTTTCCTAGCCTGCTTCTGGATATACAGACCAATCATTTCTCTCAATTTAAAGATCCAGTTTCTTCAGAAAAAATGAGAAATAAAAAAGTAGAGCTGGTGCTAGTGGCTCATGCCTGTAATCCTGTCTATTCAGGAAGCGGATCTTTAGGATTCTGGTTCCAAGTCAGTTTGGGAAGCAAAGTCTACAAGAGACTTATGTACAATTAACCAGCAAAAAGACATAAGTGGAGGTGTGGCTCAAATGGCAGAGCATCAGTTTGGAGTAAAAAAGCCAATGCAGAGCAGGAGGCTCTGACTTCAAGCCAGTAACACGTGCGTGTGGGCATGTTCACATACGCACACACAACACACACACAACACATAACACACAACACACATGCACACAACATACATCACACACAACAAGCATAACATACACCATACACACAACACATACAACATGCACACAGACCACACACACAACACACAGCACACAAGCACACACAATACAATATGCAACATGCACACACAACACATATGTGATAACAGAATATTGTGAATAGTAAAAGAATATCTTTTTTTTTTCTTTCAAGCCTAATATTGATGTACAAGACTCCGTCAAGTTTTTAGAGTCAGAGTTCAGTAGAGGAATTTCCGACAATTACACTCTGGCTCTTGTAACTCATGCACTGTCATTGGTGGGAAGCCCTGTGGCCAAGGAAGCGCTGTCCACGCTGACTCGTCGTGCAGAGAGAGAAGGTAATCCGTGCGGCCTGACGCAGGCTGTTTGATTGCTTGACATTGTAGGCCTGATATGGATGAGATGGAAAATGAAATGAGGAAGTCGGGATGGACCTGGTTATAATGCCTGTAGTCTCCCTGGGATAGGATTTTAGGGCTTAGGTGTCTTGTTTTATGTATGGCCTATTGGGAAATGGTTGCACTTTGAGCTTCTGGTATCGTTTCTGATTTGACAGCTTGGTGTATCCCTTAAGACCTTGGATTCCAAACTTGGGGGAGGGGTGGGGTTGAGAGAGATGGGGGAGAAGGATGGAAGGGGTGACAGCAATCAAGATGCAGTGTACTCACAGACTGATGTATCAAACTGAAACTCCTTTGAGCAAGTACTTAAAGAGCATTTAAAAGTCGATAAAATAAATTGCAAAAGAGATAATGGGTTCTATAGAATCACCTGTAAGGTGGGAAGAATCCCAGTCAGATAATTAGATTAGGGTAGGGTATAGAGCTCACCTCAAAAAATGGGATCGGAAGGCAAATACCAAAATGTCCTGCTAGTAAGTGGGGTGCATATGTCCATGTATTCCTCTTCATCCTCTGTCTCCTCTCCCTCCCTCCTCCTCTTCTCCCTTCCCCTCTTCTTCTTCCTCCTCCTTCTTCTTAGTCTCCTCTTCCTCCTGTTCTTCCTCCTCCTCCTCTTTTTCCTCCTCCTCCTCCTCCTCTCCTACCTTCTCCCCTTCCCCTTCTTGTTCTTCTCTTCTTCTTCCTCTTCCTCCTCTTTCTCCTTTTTCTGTCTCCTCCTCCTTCTATTCTTCTTCCTCTTCTTCCTCCTCCTCATTCTCCTTCTCAGTCTCCTCCTCCTCTTCTTCCTACTCTTCCTCTTCTTCCTCTTCCTCCTCCCTTCCTCCTCCTTTCTTCTTCTTCCTCTGATACCAGAGGACCTAGGCATTGTCCCTTAGATTTTTCACTCAAGTCTAAGCTCTGCCACTGGAGCCATAACTCTACTTCTGGATTTGGTGGCTAATGGGAGATAAGAGTCCTGTGAACTTTTGTGCCTGTGCTGGTTTTGAACCATGATCCTCAGATCTCAACCTCATTAGTAGCAGGATTACAGATGTGAGCCACTAATACCCAGCTAGGGTTTTATATAGTTTATTTTTTATTTTTGTATAATTCTATTGACAATTTATATTTTTATGTATTTTTTATTGTAGAGGTAATATACAGAGGGGTTACAGTTATATGAGTCAGGTAAAAGAATACATTTCTTTTTGAGCCATGTCTCCCCTTTCCTTGTTCTCTCCCAGTTTTTCCTTCCCTTCCCTATCCACAAGATGTACACTTACTTTTCCACAGTGTCTCGTGAGTACCATGGCTGTATTTATTCACACTTTGTTCCACCTTTTCTGTGCCCCCTTAGCTCTCCAAGATAAACTAACAAGACAAAAGGAAAAGAAAACAAAATTTAAATGGGGACTAATTTAGGGCTACAAAGAGATAGAAAACATAGGAATGTGACAGAAATGGTCACTGTAAGATTGTCAGGAATCTCAAGTGTGCACGTGTGTGTATGTGTGTGTGTGTGTTTGTGTGTGTATGCATGTGTGGTGAGGAGTGAGGTTGGTGGACACAAACCTTCTATCCCTTCAAGAGGGAATAGCTACAGAATGCAACTAGAGATCAGAGATTATGGTAAAAGTTATTATGGTAATATTAATAATTAGGTTGGCCCTTAGTGCCTAGTTCAGTGTTGAAGCCTGGATACTGGTCATGCAGGGGCTGAAGTGGTCCATGGTGTGTCTTCTCCTCTGCTTGGCTGTGTGGTAATGAGCACAGTTCCTTGGTAGAATCAGCCTTAGGAAGTGATTGTGGAGAGAAGGGGAGAGACAACAGGAAGAATGGTCTTCTGGGGACTAGGGCAGGATTATTTCTAGGAAGGTTGTTGAGTTGGCTGCAGTCCATTTTTTTTTTTTTGTGAGGGGACCTGAATTTTGAACTTTAAACATTTTCAGATGGGGCTGGGAAGTTGGCTCAGTTGTAGAACGCTTGCCTTGAATGCATGAAGCCCTGGGTTTGATTTCTCAGCACCACATAAGCAGAAAAAGCCAGAAGTGGTGCTGTGGCTCAAGTGGTAGAGCACTAACCTTGAGCCGAAGAGCTGAGGGACAGCGCCCAGGCCCAGAGTTCAAGCCCATGACCGACCAAAAAAAAAAATAAAAAAAAACAAAATCATTTTCAGAAATGAAAAGGAGAGAGAGAGGGTGAGGGAGAAGGTGGCAGGGAGAGAGGGAGAGAGAGAGAGAGAGAGAGAGAGAGAGAGAGAGAGAGAGAGAGAGAGCACTTTCCCAGAATGTGAGAGCTGGTTAATGGTAGATTCTCAGAACCAGATTCGCTCCCATGCATCCTAAAGGGATCAGTGATGTATATATTTTTTTGGAATATATTATGTTCTTTCTTTGATTCATAGCTATTTAGTTTTGAGCCAAACATATGGAATTTCTCTTGGGAAGTCTTATTTCATTCTCAGTTATAGGCAATAGGAAAAGGGTGAAAATCTGTTAAGTTGTGATAGATTAAAAGTAACAACCGCACCGTGTATGTATGTGTGTGTGTGTGTGTGTGTGTGTGGGCACGCGCACGCATGTGCGCATATATACATATATACTAGTGTAGTATATATGTGTAATTTTTTATATGCTAGTCAAGCAGGACTTGGACCAGATAGGAACCCTCCTTGGTAGAAAATGTCATTTTTTTTGGTTGTTGACCACAGCTGCTTTTCTCTGTCAGGAGACGTGCAGTTCTGGGCATCATCTGCATCTGCACTTTCTGAGTCCTGGCAGCCTCGCTCTCGGGATATTGAAGTTTCGGCCTATGCTCTACTTTCACATTTCCTGCAGTCCCAGGTCTCGGATGGAATCCCAGTCATGAAGTGGCTGAGCCGGCAAAGAAACAGCCTGGGGGGATTTGTGTCTACACAGGTGAGAGATGGTAGCTTTTCCCTACAGAAGATAGAATTCATAATATACATTATATATTAAAATTAAACACATATACAATATTATACATTACATTGTATAGAAAATATTTTTATATTATATAATATATAAATATTTATAATATAATTATATTAAGTGCAAAATATTTATATAAGATATATAAAATACAAAATACAAAAAAATTATAGCGTGTACTTATATATTTGAAGCTACTATATACATACCTATGTATACATATATAGTATATATATGTATGTATATATATATATGTATACTATATACATACCTATGTATACTGTTGCCTTTTGTGACTTCATAAGAATATTTCATTTAAAAGTTTCATAACTTTTTGTGTGTTTGTGTGTTAGTACTGGGTCTTGAACTCTGGCCTTGCACTCTTACTTGAGGCTGATGCTCTACCTCTTGAGCCATACCTCTACTTCCTAAAAGTTTACGAACTCAAGTCAAAGGTTTCAGCTACTTAGGTTTTTCTCATATGAATTTAATACTTGATAGTTAAAGGGAATAAATTAGTTTTAGCTGTCTTGCATTTGTGGTAACTGATTTAAGATTTTCACACGGCAAATGTGCTCTGAGCCTCATCTGTGCTCTGAACCAAGACATTCTGAGATGAGTTGGGAAGTCTCCTTTTCTCAGAGAGGGATGGACGGATGGGTGGATGCACAGTAGGGCTCTTAGACATTACTAACTGTATTCTTCAGAGACTTTGAGTTGTACTTTTATGCACCATTGTTTTTCTACTCTCAACAGGATACCATTGTGGCCTTAAAAGCTCTATCTGAATTTGCAGCCCTAACCAATGTAGAAATGACAAATATCCAAGTGTCAGTGACTGGGCCTAGCTTGCCAAGCCCAGTGAATTTCCGGATCACAGGACACAACCGCTTCCTCCTGCAGACAGCAGAGGTGGGAACCAGAGTGGTTATGTTAGATCCCCTGTAGATGCTTCTGTATCCCTGAATTCTGCTTTGTTTCTGCGGTTTGAATGTCAGTAAAGACTTGTTCCCAGATCCCTGAGAGATGGCGGTGGGCGGTGGGGGGTAGGGGGGAGAGGAATAGCCTCCTTTGGTTAAGCTTGCTCATCTCAGGAAAGACAGAGGGGGTGGGAATGCTGGAGACTGGTGGCAGAGGAGAAAATGGGGAAAGTTCCTCCCATGGCCTTGTTAGGGGGCTTTACATATGAGACTGCATTTACTTCTCAACCAGCTCTAGATAAGCCCTTATCTCCATTGTTCACATGAGAGCACAGGCCAAGAGACCATTACTATTAATGTCCACAGTAATTAATACTGACACTGTTACTATCAACAGTGGAGCCAGGTTCTCTTGGATGAATTGAGAGTCCCTCCCTCTCTCCATCCCTCCCTCTCTTTCTTTCTTTCTTCCTTCCTTCTTCTCTCCCTCCCTCCTTCCTCCTCTCTCCCTCTCTTTTTCCTTTCTTCTCTTTCTCTTTTCTCTTTCTTTCTTCTCTCTCCTTCCCTTTCTCCCTTTTTTCTCCCTCCCTCCTTCCTTCCCTCCCTTCCTCCTTCCATTCCTTCCTTCCTTCCTTCCTTCCTTCTCCCTACCTCTCTTTTTCCTCCTTTCTGTCTTTCTTTTTATCTCTCTCTTTCTTTCTTCTCTCTCCGTGCCTTTCTCTCTTTTTCTCCCTCCCTCCTCCCCCCCTCTTCCCTCCCTCCTTCCTCCCTCTATCCCCTTCCTTCCTTCCCTCCCTCTCCTTCCTTCCTTCCTTCTTTCCTTTCTTCCTTCCTTCCTTCCTTCTTTCCTTTCTTCCTTCCTTCCTTCCTTCCTTCCTTCCTCTCTCCTTCCCTCCCTTCTTTTCTCTTTCCCTCTTTCTCTCCCTGTCTTCCTCCCTCCCTTCTTCCCTTCTTACTCCCTCCCTTTTTCCTCTCTCCCTTCTCTCCATCCCTTCCTCTTTCCTTTCTTCTAGCATGCTCCACAGGTGGCTTCCATTTTCCTTGCAGGATATTGCTTTTTTGGGGGCGACCTGGAATGCTCTAGATATGGGGAATGGGCCTCACTGACTTTCTCTTTCTCCCACCTGGGTGCAGCTTGATGTGGTACAACCAACTATGGTCAATATTTCTGCAAATGGTTTTGGATTTGCTGTTTGTCAGGTATGTAATAATGTTTATTTTTTCAGTTAAATATAACTTAATATTTCTTTGTTTTAGGTCACTGCTAAATCTTCAACTTAGATAATATGTATAAAGTTTTAATGATTTATGTGTGGAAATAGGCAACATGTACTTTCATACTTTTTATAAAAGTGGTGAGTAGGCAGCATATATATGTGTTCAAAGAGGTTTAATTGTAGTTTTCTGTACAAGCATATAATATACTTTGATCAAATTTATTCTCTTTATGAATCTTTTTTCTTCATTCCTTTTTCTTTTCCCTCCCTCCCTCCCTCCCTTCCTTCCTTCCTTCTTGTCTTTCTTTCTTTTTTGTGTAACAGTACCTGAGCTTGAACTCAAGACCTTGTGCTCTTACTTAGCTTTTTTGCTCAAGACTGATGCTCTTCCACTGAAGCCACACCTCAGCTTCTGCCTTCTTGCTGGTTAAATTGGAGATAAAAAAAATCACTTGAATTTGTCTGGCCAGGCTGGTTTTGATCCTCAATCCTCAGATCTCAGTCTCCTGTAGCTAGAATTACAGGCACTAGCACTCGATTCCCTTATCTGTTGCTGAACAACTTTTTTTTTTTTTGTCAGTCGTGGGGCTTGAACTCTGGGCCTGGGCACTGTCCCTCAGCTCTTCAGCTCAAGGCTAATGCTCTACCACTTGAGCCACAGTGCCACTTCTGGCTTTTTCTGCTTATGTGGTGCTGAGGAGTCAAATCCAGGGCCTCATGCATGCAAGGCAAGCAGTCTACCACTGAGCTGCCTTCCCAGCCCACTAAACAACTTTTAATGGGTTTCATTATCTTGTTATTTATACATGTGTATGAGGAACAGTTAAAATCTTCCAGTATGATTCAAGTGAATAGTTGAAAATTCCCACCTTCTTTTTGTGTGTGATGTAGTTCTAAAATTATAATGTTGGTACAGTTTGTACTATGACCTGGTGAAAAAAACCCAGATATTTTATGTATAAATTCTTAATATACATCTAAGAACATAAAAGTCAGCATGATATCATGTTATTGTCTTAAAGATAGGAAATGTGTTTTTAATGTAAAATGTGCATAATAGTAAACACAACAGCTGGAATTTGATTATTTCAATGTCTGGCACAGGAAGGAAATACAAAGAAACATACCTTTTAAGCTTTTCTGCTCATCTGATAAAATTATCCTATACGCATACTGATTATTGCAAATGAGGGAAACCATGGGACCTATATTTCTTTGGGTCTGGCTTACTTCACTTAATATATTTTTTCCCAAGTCTTTCCATTTCTTAACAAATGGGGCAGTGTCATTCTTTCTGATGGCAGCATAGAACTCTCTCTCTCTCTCTCTCTCACACACACACACCACACACACACATACACACATACATACACACACACCACATTTTCTTGATCAAAAGCCCAAAAGCTATGTCCATATGACAATATAAGATGATGCTAAGTGAAAGGAACCCCAAGATGTGGACACAAGAGGTCTTTGTTGTTGTTCTTAATATACTATGTGATTTTTTTGTTTCCTTTGTATGTTCTTCCCCTTATGGTATATCCCCTGCTGTCACTGTACTTGATTTTGGTGCCCTGCATCTTGTGTATGCATTTATCTAATTTGTGGAGGGGAAGGGGAATTACAAAATGCTGAAACAAGGACACCGATGACCCATTGCAACAAGGTTACCCACAAGACACTATGTTGGGAATGAACTTTACAGCTTCGGGGCACGGGGGAGTGAGGGAGCTGGGGAAGGAAGGGATAGTGGGAGAGCAACAAAGGGGGGGGTAACAATGCTAGATAAGAAATGTACTCATCACCTTACTCATGTAACTGTAAACCTCTGTACAGCATCTTTACAATAAAATAAAATAAGGAAACTTACCTTTTAAGGCACAGTAGGAACTACAGTAAAATGGAAATAGAAAAATACTAACTGGAATAATTACTATACAGAATGCCATGAGTATAGTGGAGACTTTAAAGCCATTACTGAAAACATGATAAAGAATTCATGATAAGGAGAACATGAATACATGATAAAGCCAACAGTGATTATGTGCTTGGGTGGTAAACCCTGAAACATTTACTGAGAAAGTACTAGAATGGCTACAATATAATATAGCTATAAAAAGATAATTTGTGTGTGTGTGTGTGTGTGTGTGTGTGTGTGTGTGTGCGCGCACGCGTGCGCACGTGCCAGTTCTGTGGCTTCAACTTAGGGCTGGCTTGAACTCACTGTCCATGAAGTTTTTTTTCTCAGGGCTAGTGCCACTTGTACCACAGCATCATTTCTGGCTTTTTGGTAGTTAATTGGAAATAAAGGTTTCATGGACTTTCCTGCCCAGGCTGACTTTGAACCATGATCCACAGATCTCAGCCTCCTGAGTAGTTAGGATTACAGGTATAAGCCACTGCACCTGGCTCCAAGCTCTTCAGCTCAAGGCTAGCACTCTACCACTTGAGCCAGAGTGCCACTTCTGGCTTTTTCTGCTTATGTGGTGCTGAGGAATTGAACCCAGGGCCTCATGCATTGGAGGCAAGCACTCTACCACTGAGCCACGTTCCCAGCCCAAGCTGATATATTTTTTTTAAAGTATGCAAATCTAAGAAGGATTCTACATGTGTACTTCCAAGGTGTGTGTGTAGACACAATGATATAGAGCAGTATCTAGCTTTATGAACCTTGTTTCCAATTACATGATGCGGTAAGACATTTAAATGGATTCAATTCCATCTTGGAATGAATGAAGCCAGCCTAGGACATTTTGAATCCATTCCTAAACTTCTGATTTAGGGTCCCTTTGAAAAACATCCTGGCCCTCATTCCACCCCAAATTCTTTTTACTTCTGCTACTAGGAGTGTATGAGTAGGTTCTGATTATGAGCAGCTGCTGCAGTGGATGAAGAACTTAGAGATGAGCAATTAGTCTGTGTTTCCTGGACTTGGCATTCTTTTCTCTCAATTCATTCAAGCGATTTTTTTCCCATCCCTTGAGGGTGCAGTATCGGGTGGGTGTCATTCATAGCCTCTGTCATATTATGGAAAATTACCTAGTATTTTCTTCCAGCTAAAAATAATTTTAAATCAACTTTTAGAAGAGCATCATTTAGGCTGGGAAGGTGGCTCAGTGGTAGAGTGCTTGCCTTGTAGGCATGAGGCCCTTGGTTTGATTCCTCAGCACCACATAAACAGAAAAAGCTGGCAGTGGCGCTGTGGCTCAAGTGGTAGAGCGCCATCCTTGAGTTGAAATGCTGAAGGACAGCGCCCAGACCCAGAGTTCAGGCCCCACGACTGACAAAAAAAAGAAAAGAAGAAAAAAAAAGAGTATCAGTTAATAAAAGATTCTTTTAGTCAACAAGACAATTTTTTTCCCTTGCTTGATGAATAGAATTTTTTTTTTCTAGTCCTGGGCCTTGACCCACTCAAGGCTTGGACACTGTATTTGAGCTTTTTTGTTCAAGCTAGTAATGTAGCACTTTGAGCTACAATGCTATTTCACAGTGCTTTTTGGTGGTTAATTAGAGATAAGAGTCTCATAGACTTTTCTGCCTGGGCTGGCTTTGAACCGTGATCCTCATATTACAGCCTCTTGAGTAGCTAGGATTACAGGCGTGAGCCACTGACACCTGGCCTGAGGTATACAAATTTAGTTGGGTTTGTCATAAAACAATTTACCTAACATGTAGCTCTTATTGTTTATTTCAAAATATTTTATTGTTATTACAGTGTTGTAATATGGTTTACTGTTTTATTTTTAAGTTAATTTTGTGCTGGAACTGCATCTTGAACTCAGGGCACTCTCCTTTAACTTTTTTTCTTGAGGCTGATGCTCTATAACTTGAGCCACACTTCCACTTTCAGCTTTTTACTGTCCATTGGAGATAAGAGTCTCAAGGATGGGGCTGGGAAGGTGGCTCAGTGGTAGAGCACTTGCCTTGTATGCATGAGGCCCTGGGTTCGATTCCTCAGCATCACATAAGCAAAAAGAAAAAAGCTGGAAAGTGGCGCTGTGGCTCAAGTGGTAGAGAGCTAGCCTTGAGCTGAAGAGCTGAGGGACAGCACCCAGGCCCAGAGTTCAGGCCCCATGACCGGACCCTCTCCCCCCCCCAAAAAAAAAGTCTCAAGGATTTTTCTGCCTGGGCTGGCTTCCAATGGTAATACATTTCAACCTCCTGAGTAACTGGCATTACAGGTGTGAACCCCTAGCATCGGGCTTTACCTAACATTTAGAATGCACAATGATGACATGTTCTTGCTAATAACTTATTACTTAGACTAATTTTGTATTTTCTGCAGCTCAATGTTATGTACAATGTGAAAGATTCTGAGTCATTTAGAAGAAAGAGATCTATTCAAAACCAAGAAGCCTTTGATTTAGATGTGGATGTAAAAGATAATCAAGATGTCAATCATGTAGATTTGAAAGTATGCACAAGGTAAGTATTTGTTATGTCTTTCTTCTTCCTCTCTTTCATCTTTCTTTTTTTAAAATTTTTTTATTGTAAAGACTATACAGAAAGTTACAGTTACATGAGCAAGATAATGAGTACACTTCCTATTGAGTATTGTTACCCCCTCCATTGTTTTCCCCCTATCATCCCTTCCCTCCCTACCTTCCCCGAGGTTCTTTTTTTTTTATTTGTCATTAAGTGATTACATAATTTCCAAAATTTCACAGTATTGTGGAATAATGATGCTCATTTAAAGTCACAAGTTCATTCTAACTTTCCTGGAGCAAATTGTCTATCACAGTGTACATATATACACCATACATGTGATCAGCAGCATGGGGATATTTAGTAGTGGTTCGACCAGATGAGTGGAAGTTCTTTGTTTCTTAAGTCCTGTTAGTTTTGTCGTATCATCTAACATTTTGGATTTAGCATCCACTTGTCAGGGAGACCATGTACCATTTGTCTCTTTGCTCTTGGCTT